TAGAATATACAATAAAAAGTATTTAAAGGTAAGCTGTATTACTTGTATCATTTCTCAAATGTAGTCTAACATTTTTCTTGTGAATAAGACATGTTCTTAATATTGCATTAAAATATTAGGTAAGTCCTGATAAAAAATGTATCAGTTGGTTTCATTTCGTGGAAGTTTTCAACAGAGATTCTTAGAGTTTGTCCAAAAATAATCAAGAGGCATTTGTTTTTGGATAATTTGGCTAAAATTAGTGTTAAGCTGGCCACACAGGTATACCTATAACACAATTTAGTTATTTTAACTGATATTATTTTATTTAGAACCTAATTATTATGTATGATCTTAAGGTATTAAGTCAATCTATGGCAGATGGAATTAAGTTTTATAGAGAAAGTCAATGTGCAGGACTTGGTGGGAGTGAAGAAACTGAAGAGTTTACTAGGCTATTTAACAACTGTTTCGATGCATTAAATAGAAAATTTTCAAAAGAGGGTATACGGGAAAATAGCAATGACCTAATAGTAAATTACCTCTATGCATTTTATTATTGTAATTTAATTAAGTATTTAAATAATTTTAGTTTTAATTGTAGGTTTTACAGAATACTATTAATTTTATTAATGCTTGGGAACAAAATGTGAAAAATGGTTTGATTTCAAAAGATGACTATTTGACCAGCAATACAGCTGGTGGTTTAAGAGTGACTCTGAAGTCAACTATTGATTTAACTGAATATTTGTTAAATAAATGTGGCTTTAATTATGTATTAACTAATAAAATGAATCAAGACTCACTCGAAGTAAGAATAAACAAATATACATTAATTATATTTATATCTAATCATTTCATTTTCTTTAGTTATTTTTTGGAACTGTTCGCCAAGCTTCAGGTCCTAATGATCATCCTTCCACACCAACATTCATACAAATATATAAAATTCTCTCTGTTTATTCTATACTTAAACCTCCATCTACCGGAAATTGTGAATTGCTTAACACTGATGTACCTAAAATTAGTATGATGGATATAAAAACAATATATGAAAATAATGGTTATATATTAATATCTCATTTTACTATTTTTAAGCCGGAAAAAATTGATTTATTGATTGGTGCCGACACCTATTGGGAAATAATGTGCTCGGGAAATTTCAAACTGCACACAATGGGTCCGTACTTGCAGCAAACAATGTTCGGCTGGATTATTGTAGGACCAGTGAATGAAATTTCATCAAAAAATAATTCGATGGCTTGCTTTGTAATAAGTGAAGATAATTATTCAAATTTGGAAAAGGATATTGAAGAATTTTGGAAAATCGAAGAATTTTCCAATGCAAATATGGACGAAACGTCGGAAGATAGTATTTGTAGAAAACATTTTGAAGATCATGTATCAGTAGATTCCACGGGAAAATTTGTAGTAAAATTGCCGTTTCGAGATAACGTAGACATGTTAGGCGAGTCATATAACATAGCGTTAAAAAGGTTTTTATCGTTAGAGCGTCGTCTCGGGAAAAATCCCGAGCGATATAGTCAATATAAAGGGTTCATGGAAGAATATGAGCATTTGGGACATATGGAGAAAGTTAATGAGAACAATGACCTATCAGTGAAAACGTATTACATGCCACACTCTTACGTTCTTAATGATAGTAGCCGATCAACTAAATTACGAGTGGTATTTGACGGCTCATGCAAATCAGAATCTGGATTATCGCTAAACGATGTATTGTTAAAAGGTCCTATATTACAAGATGACCTCACATTAATTGTTACGAGATTTCGTACACATAAATATGCATTTTCAGCTGATATTAAAAAAATGTATAGGCAAGTATGGGTTGATAATGCAGATAGAGATTATCAGCGCATATTGTGGCGCGGTGATCCTAATGAGCCTATTAAGAAATATAGATTGTGTACAGTAACTTACGGAACGGTACCTGCAAGTTTCTTATCGGTTGCGTGTCTTCATAAATCGGCGGATGTAAATAAAATACGTCCGGAGATAGCTCAGATAATAAAGCATGATTTTTGTGTTGACGATTGTTTAACGGGCGCCTCAACATTATCGGAGGCTTTAAATTTGCGTAATGAATTAATTAAATGTTTAAGTAACAATGGATTTGAATTAAGCAAGTGGACAGCTAATCATGCCGATTTATTAAAATATATACCAATTCCTAATGAAAACTCACTATACTCGTTAAATATGGAAACTGAAGCAATAAAAACATTAGGTTTGTATTGGGATTCAAACTCGGATAGTTTCATTTATAAAGTGTCGTTACCAATACCTGAACATAAGATAACCAAACGAAGTATTTTATCTAATATAGCACGTCTATTCGACCCGCTCGGATTGCTCGGACCGGTTATCGTGGTAGCTAAAATATTAATGCAACAATTATGGAAATTAAAAATAAATTGGGATGATGAATTATCAACAGAAATTCAAATAAAATGGAAAAAATATTTAAAGGATTTAAATCAATGCAATAATCTAAGTGTCCCGCGCTGGTTGCAGTGTGACGACACAGAAAAAATATATATACACGGATTTGCCGATGCATCGTGCAAAGCGTACGGGGCTTGTTTATATGTAGTATGCACGCGCGCGGACGGTAGTCGCCACTCACAACTAATATGCGCAAAATCAAGAATTGCGCCGATAAGTATAATAACAATACCGCGATTAGAGTTATGCGCTGCCTTACTATTATCAAAATTAATAAAAAAAATAGTTCCAGCGTTACGAATTAATGTTACGAATATTTATTGCTGGAGTGATTCTAAGGTGGTACCATAGATTAGTATGTTATAATAGATGCGCGACTCAATGTTAAATTGTTGGTCTGCCAAAACCGCTCCCTGTGGCCGTACGTATATACTAAAACAGTGTTAACATCGATACTAGGTATTCGATATTGTATTATCGATAGTTACTATCGATAATTAGAATTGATAATAATCGATAGTTTGTTTAGTAATTAATAGTTTACGAATGAAATAAAAAACAATTAAGTTAAAATTACAACATTTTTATTTATTGGTATAAAATATATAGTATTAAAATTAAGATAATTACATATATAACATACATAGTCAAACATAATATTAAAATTTAACAAAAAACAAATATAGCTGGTTTTCAGCACATGTTTTAGTATAACTGTGTAAAAAAAATAGTAATACAATGTAACAAATATTTTAAACAAAATTAAATTTCTGTTGAATTTTTCGTTTGCTATGCTTCAGATACCATGCGTGGGCGATGTTTTTCATGGGATCAGTTTCACGCTGTTGAATTTTACGTTTACCGAGTAAAATACGATTAACCTCAGTACAATAATGGTTCATCATCAACTTAATGACCATATTTATTATTTTTGATGGAAATATATCTCGGTGATCAGGACAGTTCAAAATATCATTAAAATTGAAATTCTTTGAGACGTTTAATGCTAGATTGTGTAAAATTTTTTCGTGATGACATACCATTGGCATTTGTTGACCCACATAACAAATTATTTGTTGAATAATTTTTCGGAAAGAAGAAGATGTATACTTTAACGAATTTCGGCCAGTTTGGTACTCTCGAGCAGCGATAAGTTGGTTTTCTTTATTTGCACTATTACCACAAAGATGGCGAAGGCAGTATTTACAGTTTTTTAAGACATCTTTGTTTAATTTTTTCAATATGTACCCGGCTATATATGTTTGTGTTTGTCCTTGTATAAATTCAGTTGTTGAAGACAATTGATGAATTGTTTCCGGTAGATCTGCAGCTATAGTTTTGTTAGTGGTAGGTGATGAAAATTGGGCTGCCTTATCAAACAAATTTTTAAAAGAGGTAAGACTACCTTCAGTAAAATCTTCCTCGCAATTTGCTCCGGGTGAATGTGGTGAAATCAAGTTGTTTAGAACCAATGTTTTGTATGAAGAAACAAATGAATGACAATTCGGATTAATTGAACCTATTGACCGAATAGCTCCAAAGAAGTTTTCCAGGGAATCCTGGTTCAAATGTCTTGGCAGGATTGACCGAATACCTTGTGAGGCCAATACATTATATAGAGTTTGAAACGCTGAAAAATTAATATTTTAATTATTGTAATTTAAGCGATTTAATTGATAATTGTTTTCAAATAAATTACCTTTAATTGTTGATATCCAATTCTGAATGGTTGGAGTTGATATTTTTTTGCCCTTTTTGTTAACAAAACTCATTGTACTGAGTATTTTCAAACTTTTTGCCCAAAGGTTGTGATGAGGACTATTGTTTTTAACAGCTGTGCGGTATATTTTACCATCAACAGGTTTGTCAAAACTACCATTGAAAGAATCAAATAAGTCGTCAAAAAAGTAACACACAGAAGCAGTGTCTTTAGCACCAGAGTTTATGATATCTCGAGCTGTAAAATATCAAAACTATTAATATGACATATTAAAAACTATATATATATATATATGTATACAAGGCTAGAGTAGTTTCCTATATAATAAGTAATAAGAAATAAATAATTAATACTTAAAAATATAATAAAATAATTTATTTAATAGATACCTACTATTATTATAGACTTGGTAAAATACTAAATCATTAAAACGAGTCAAATTGTTTATATTTACATAATTTAATACTTATATAAATATATTCATCATATGAAATAGTTGGATAATCTTTTAACATATACTATAAATTTAGTCATGAACACAGCCTATACTTAAAATATAAATTTAAACGTAAATAAATAGCATTAATCTTTATGCTAAAAAAAAAATTGCGTTAAAAATTATTTTTCTTTATTGTGTTAAATCAAACTAAAAATTATCTAAACTTATTACTTAAAATAAAAAATTAATTCGTTAATTTCACGTTAATTAAAAAATAAATTTAGTAAGTTAATAGTTAAGTTAATGAATACCCAAAAGTAACTAGTTAAGTTAAAAAGTTTAAATTAAATTAACTTTTTAACTTAGCTTTAACTTTTTAACTCGTTAATGCCCAGCCTTGTATATATATATATATATAACATACTACACTTACAAGCTAAAAAATTCATTGTGGACGCTACTCGTTGTGAAAACACTTGTGTAGCATATTTCACTTTCATTTTTTTAACTTTCTCGGGAATGATGTGCTGATCTGTAAGTCTTGGCAACATCTTACAATCTGGTGTTTGACTATCAACATTATACAACTCTACCAAATGAGACCATTTTGCTTCTTTCTTAATATCATCAACATAAAATATTAAGTTTTTCGTCATTAAATTGTTTCTGATGCACTTCATTAAATGTGGGACATCATAAATGTGGACCAATTTCAAAAGTTGTTTATTTTTCAATTGAACTTCATAAAATTCATCATTGTAAGCAGTATTATTTTTTAAATGCGAAGCCCTCGTCTCTCGTTTCAAATTGCTTATGGCACTTACATTAGCCGAACCTTGGTCACTTATTGTAGCTACTACTCGTAAACCAGTATCGTGTACTTTCTGAATAACCTATGAATATACATCACATCATTATTAAACACCTATATTATACTATAACATATTATGACAAAAAAAATACATGTATTAACTGTATGAATCATAATATATTCAAACTAATTACCTCTTTTAACTGACGAACCAATTCATCGTGTTTTGTTGCCCCTTGACAAAATGAATAAGAAACAGGTTGTTTAAATTTTTTTTTAATACCTCGTACCATAAAAACCAACGCATGGTCTGCAACATTTTGGCTTTTATACATTCCTGTATCAACAAACCCATCAATATTGTCAGTTACTGGATTGTAAGTTATACCACTCGACAAACACACTTCATCAAATAATACTGTACAGTACCTAAAGAGTAATAAAACAAATTATATAACTAATCAATCATATCTTTTTAGTTACAAATCCTTACCGTTCTGAAGGTTTCAGTTTTTTTATATTGTCTTAAAGCACATCCATCATCAACGGAGAAATACCAGGACTTATTGTTATACTGCCTAAGATAACATTAAGTGTTCTTTTGGAAGGCAACGTGAACATTTGCGATAAGAGTCTATAACATTTCGGACTTCTTTTATACAACGAGAGGCTCAGCATTTTTTCTTCTAGTGAAAATCGACGACCATTACTCTTTTTGTTTGATTCCCGGATTTGAAGTCTTGTAAAAAGTGATGCAGCAGCAGAAAGTTTGTCAGAGAATTTGTCAATTAAATAGCTGTTGGCAAATTTGTCAGCTTCCCGTAACCGTGTTTTAAATAATGCCTTTTTCGTATTCATTCGACGATATTTTTTTATCACATTTGTTGTCAATTTGTAAAAACGTTTGCACCTAGGTGTTAACGAACTGCATTTTTTTACTCCAATGCTAGCTAACAAACCTATACATATATTTAAAAATTAAAAGTAGTTAAGAAGTCTAAATTATTTACACAAACAATTTGAATATAATTATTAAAATATAAACCAACCAAAGCTTTTATTGGACTTGGGAACTCTAATAGATTTAGGAGGAACTGTTTTTAAGCCATCAACATTAACTACATGCATTACATGCGCATTCTTAGCAGTTGGTTCATTAACTAGATCATTGGATGCAATATCATCAAGCATATTATTTTCAATATTACTGACTACAGGTTCAACATGCACACTATCTATATTCACAATTATAGTTAAGTGATAAAATAAATATTCTAGATTATACATAAGCAAAAATGTAAAATTACCAGCAATGAAGTCCATGTCATTTAATGAATTGTCTAAAAAACATACACCAGACATGAACGAATCATCGACATTTTGCTGGTCCTGTTGCTCATTTTCTGTAACTATATATTATATATTCAAATTGATTAGTATTAGCGCATGGGTAATAAAGCACTTGAGCACTGTGCCTAGGGCCTACAATAGCGTTAATCCGGGCAGTATTCAATAGATTATAATAATTGTATATAATTATTTGTAAACAATGTACATACCTGTGTGTTGAAAATTTTCTTTTAAGATATCAACATTAACCATTTCTCTATTTGGCAAGTTGATGGAGGGGTAAGCATTTGCATTTAGCTTTTTAGTACCAGGACTCGAACAATCATTAGTAAAATGCAAAGCACAGATAAATTTTTTAGAATAGACAGACATCGGATTCATGTCTTCCAAACCACCTACAATCTTCATCCAACTTTTAAGTCTGTCCATATCATTGCTAGGATTTGGAAACCGATGACATACCACATCTAATAAAAAGAAAACGCGACATATGAAACGGACATAACCTTATCTAGTACAATAAAATAATAAATGCATACCTTTTGATTGACAGTCACGTACAATACATTTATATGCATTTTTCGGAGGCATTATTACACACTAAAAACAAAACAAAACAATAACGAAATTCTAAAACTTCTTTTGGACAGTTTCGTAACTAATTTAACGACAAAAGTTTAAATTTGTTGTTGTCAATGAAAACACCAAAAAGTCATGTGGTCGGTAGAGCGCCGTCGCGATAACAAATAACCGCTGATACGCTGGACAGCCAACGCTAGTGGCGCGACCGGTGGGCGTACGGTATAAACTATATTGAACATATTGTTCCTATAGAGTTGCACCAGCCTGGTCAGTCCATCCCGTTACGCCAACGCGGAAATTATTATTACGTGCGCTAATCGCCACGATAATATATTGTATATTTTGTATTACGATATTTTTACGTGCGCTAATCGCCACGATAATATATTTTGTATTTTGTATTTCAATCTTTTTAGTGTGCGCTAATCGCCACGATATTATTTATATTTTGTATTTGTACATTGTATTACAGGGTAGGTAGCAGCTGGCCAGCCTTGCACCACAAATTGTGAGTTTTTGTATTATCATTTATTATTTATTGTAATTATTATCTATATTATTATCATTGTTGGGCCAGAAGGGCCGCATACCACGTTTACATTTATTATTTGTATTGATAACGTGCAACGGATTGAAATTATTGCGCTCTGGTGGTAACTGTATCAACTAGTTTCGGGAAAAGTTATATTGAACACATATTATAGACAATAGCTTATAATAACATAGGTACAACTATTATAAATTAATTATATTTGTGTTATTAAATGTTTGCTTCACAAAATGTTATTGTATTATCTGTTGATAACTGATTTCGACTTGCACATTGAAGTTTTTGAAAATTTTGAATTTAAAAATTTATAATGAATAATTTAGTGATCAAATATGGTTTCCAGAGTATTATTCCAAACTTTATTTTCCCAAATAATAAAGGATTAAATTTATATCAAAGTGGTCATGTATTCAATGTGGAAGAACATAGACTTGGAAATAGTTTTTGTAAACTTATAGGTTTTGTTGTTCGACAAACAAGTGTAACATTAGAACCATACAAAGTAGAACTGGAAGTAAGATACTTGAACAGTTAATTAATTTTTAATTAGAAATAAATATATTTTGCACCTTCAACATTAAAATTATATCAAGTATTATCTAATTTATTGTTGCAAATATTTGAGTAGATGTATAAATTGACCTAATTTTATATATCAGTAAAGGTTTATTGTTTAAATACTAAGTATACTACTATTAGAATTTTTTTTTTGTTATTAAAAATAATTTTCCTTCATTAATAATTTTCAATAGGTTACAAACTATAATATTTTTCTATACCTGATACTAAAATATTAATTTAATACCTATTTGATTTTTAAACTGTTTAAAATATTAAATTAAGTATAAATTAGTGTTGGAGACATTTAAATTTAAATTAAAGGTTTTGAACATGTATTTTTTATAAATTGATACAAACTAATAAGTCAATAGATATTATATTTTAATTTTTCTTCTATAATTTATTCAATATTATCACAACATTTATACAACTTCTTAAGTAAAATAGGTTTTACATCTACTTTTTGTTCTCAATTCAACTACGGGATATAACACTAGGTACGTCTTAATGTAAAATTTAAAATTGTTTATTACATTTTAACAGTTGGATGATGCAAGAAATTTAAAGTATGCTTCTTGCCAATGTCCTGCTGGATCTGGAAGTAGATGTAAACATATAGTGGCTGTAATTGCTTATGTTAATTCAGAAGATGGTACATCTAAAACAGATGAACCACAACAATGGGGGAAACCATCAAAGATGGGTGAAAAAATGTATAAAAAAGGGAAGCAGATTTCTGAACTTTTCCCTCCTAAAAGATTAAAATTAGATATAAAGAGTTTAACCCACGATGAACTTATTCAGCATCATAATGTATTAAAAATTCCATGTACTTTAAGTTTAAACCTAACACAAGAAAAACGTACAGATATTGAAAGGACTTGTCAAAATGTAATGAATTATATAATAAATGATTTAGAGGATCATTTTCTTACCGTAAAATGGGGCTACTTTGATAATTTTTTCAACTTTTTGTTACTTGTTTTTAGTATATGTTGTAAACTAACTCTTATAAATTTGTTTTAACAGTGTTTGAGGCTCAATTACATATGTATCTTGAAGTAGGCACTAGTTTTTTGATTTTAAGTGCATTAATTAATTTTATATGAATTTTCCTAATTCATTATCAATGTTATACTGCAAGTGGGGTAACTTTGATACAGTGTTTTTTTTTCCATTGGATGTAATGGCATTCAGCCAACTAAATCAAAGATACCCCTCGTTTTTTTCTAAGAGTTTTATTTTATTAGTTATAACCAAAAATGTTGAGTGGGGTAACTTTGATATAGCAATTATATATGTAAATTATTATTTTTTATACAACATTTTATTTTATTTTATATTTTATATAAGATAAAAACAATACAAATATAACATCTTTGAAATAAGATTAAAAACAATAAAAACATATTTTTTGTGAAATATAGTAAACACTTTATTAATTAATATCACACTTTTGATTTTAAAATTTTGATTATAAAATAAGTAATTAACAATACAAATATCATATCTTTGATATAAGATAAACTGTAATAAACAATAAAAACATCTTATTTTATATTATATGCAAAGAATAAAAGTAGCCAGTAGCTAATCAATTAAAACAATATAATAATTAATATTAATAAAAAAAATCAATATCACACTTTTGATTTTAAAACTTTTATAATAAAATAGGTAATTAACAATACAAATATCATACCTTTGATATAAGATAAATTGTAATAAACAATAAAAACATCTTTTTTTATGTAATATGATAAACAATAAAAGAATCCAGTTGCTAACCAATTAAAACAATATAATAAATAAGTATTAATAATACAAAATAAAATAGGTAATAGTCTTATAGGTAAACAGTTTGTAGGAACATTTGTTCAATTTTTACTCAGTCTTATGCTTCTTTAATATCAATAGAGTGTGAAAACTTATATCTGACTCTATTACCACTTGTCTCAATTTTTGGAGTATTTAGCAGCGCAATAATATCTTGTAAATCAACAGTAAATAAATCATTTTCTACAATTTTGAAAGATTGTCGTGTGGTGTCGATTGCCTTTAGCCCATTGACTCTGTATCCATTATTTAATTTATCTTGGATAATAGCTGCATAAACAAAATTAGTTGACTTTCTCTTTCCAGATTGCACTTTAACCAACACAAAAGATCCAATAGCTATGTTTTCATCACTAGGCTCTGTATACTCGGGAAGATCATCCTCCTCATCTACGATATGGTCGGATTCATGATCTGATGTCAGCGTCAGAACTGCGTCTTCGACATTTCCATCATCTTCTAGTATATTTTCTAAACCAATTAAAGCTGTAGTTATACTGGTGCCAGGGGGTACATACAGTTTTTTCCTTCTTTTTTTTGCATTCTCATCAGAATTACCATAACGTTGAGACTTTAAATAATCAGTTAAAGTGTCATTTAGAATTTCACTATTATTTTCATTATCATTTGGTAATTTTGATAACACTTGTTCTCTACATAATGGATAAATACCCGTGGCTCTAAAGGCAGACACCAAGTTTTTAGAAACACTATTTTTATCACCATAATTATCCATTGTTTCTAGAGCAATTTTTAGAATATTTGGAAAAGAAGCTTTCGGAATTGCTTTGATTCTAGTATTTTGACTCTTCCATTTGTCTAATGTACAACGCCAAGCTTGTTTGAGTGGTCGAAAGAAACCAACATCCAAAGGTTGAGTAAGATGAGTTGAATTTTTAGGGAGGCAAACAAAACTAATTTGATTCTTCTCACATTCAATTATTACTTCTTGCTGAATATGAGAAGATAAATTATCCCCTATTAACACTTTCTTACCAGGTAATCGTTTTGCATGGGGTAAAAAACTAAGGAAAAACCAGTCTTGAAAAGTAAGCCCATCAATCCAACCGTGTGGTGTACGGTTATACCTTGAACCTCTAGCACAACAAGGCTGGTCACAACAAGGGAAACCTTTGGGTCCATTCTCTGTCCAAGATTGCCAAATATCATTAGCCTTATATATAATATATGGAGGTAATAGTGTGCCACTCGCAGAACCACAAATCATTATTGATGTAGCTGTCTTACTATGGTTTTGTACTCTTTCTGGATACTTGGTGCCTCGAGCAAAAATAAGTTTTTTTTTCCCGGGGTCATCCTGAAGGTTACTTTCATCATAATTAAATATGTTTTGTGGGGGAATATCAACTAACACACCCTGCAAATTATCAAAATATTCAGTTATGATGGTGGGAGAGACTTCAGCCCTACACTTAGAAATTGATGTTGCAATTCGTTGTGTGACAAGATTCTTGTGACGTTTTATGATACTTCTGGCCCAATCAGGTCCGGGAAGATTGTTGGAAAATTTGGCCACACAGATACCTTTTCGGTCAAGGTAGGCTTTTGCAACATATCTAATTCAAATAAAAAATTATAATTGATCAAATATCAAAACCAGTTGTTAAAAAGCTAATTTTTAGGTATAGCATATTAAGTTATTACCTAACCTTAGGTCTGTAAGCGTCATTGGAAATCCCCATCTTCCGCATTTCATCACTGATTGTAATAAACGTATTTCGTCTTCAGTGGAAAACGTGGGGGGAGCCCCATGCACATTGAAGTGCTTGCCATTCATTTTATTGTACAACGTACCATAAGAAACTTTATATCTAACAACAAAAATATTAATTAAATTTGGTTTTAATTAAGTAGGCTACCTATTAAAATAAAAAATTGCCGGTATACTTTTTACTGGCTGCAAGCATCGACATTTCCCCTTCAGCCACTTGGGTTAATGCCTCGTTTAGGATATCGTCGCTATAATTTTTATAAGGTCTCTTACCGACCTTTTTTTGATATGTCCGAACCACTATTAATGTTAAACAATTAACTAAGTATTAAAATATAATAATATGTACCTATCAAAGTTTCCCCCAATAAATTATCAATGTTACCCCGTGCATAAAATTGAGCATTTATAACTAAAATATTTAACTAAAATCAATTTAACTTCCAAAAATTGATTTTGGTGTGCCTAACAATAAGTTCGAAACATTCTTGATGTCAATGTAATTGATAGTACTTACTTTGCAATTGTATTTTGTGGCACCGCGATTTTCACAGGACGCTTGACAAGCACTTTTGAAAAATGATAACAATATCTTTGTTTGCTGAGCAAAAAGGCGGCAAACTAATTTGAGGTTAGAACTATCACTAATATCTCATGGAAAAATAACGACGCGCACATTGTCAGTGTAACCATAATTACAATACAATTTACAAAAAAAACACAAAAAATCAAAGTTACCCCTCAGAATCAAAGTAGCCCCATTTTACGGTACAGAACAAAATAATACATACTTGTCCGAAATAATAGACAAACAAACTCTATCTAATACTACAAATACGTACTATATATTTCCATTAAATTTTAAAGAACATACAATTTATCACCAAGAAGTAAATGTAAATGAAGAAATTATCAAACAAATTTTTAATCAAACATTAAATCAATCTAATGATAAACTTTGGTCTCATCATAGAAAAATACGTATATCAGCTAGTTTAAAGGCTCACAAAATAAAAGTTTCAAGAAATACATCAATAAATGGACAAACACGTTTGGCAATGTCTTTGATTAATGAAAACACTATTACTGGACAAGGTTTAAGTAATGTGTTATATGGTTCTCAAACTGAGAAAAAGGCAATTGAAATTTTTAGTACAATGTTCAATTTAAAAGTTTTAAAATGTGGCTTAGTTGTTCATAAAGACCAACCTTGGCTCTGTGCTAGTCCAGATGGTTTAATAATAAAAAATAACAAGATTAATTCTGCACTAGAAATCAAGTGTCCAATTTCATGCAAAAAAAAACATATTATTAATCCAGATACAGGTGAATCTAACTTAAAATATCTTAAACTTCAACAAGGAAAAATAATTTTAAACCCCAGGCATATGTATTACACTCAAATACAAATAATATTACATTGTACTAATTTGAATACTTGTAATTTGTTCATTTTTAATGAAATAGACCCTTTACTTTTAGTCATTGAGAAAGATATAACATTTTTAAATAATATTATTCCTAAATTAAATGAATTTTACTTCGCATATTATTTACCAAATTTGTGTGCTTAAGGAATATGAAATAAACATTAATTTGAATACAAATATGTATATTATATTTAATTTAAGCAAAATATAAAATTATATTATAATATGTACAATGTTTAAGCTTAACTCTTTATTTTTTGTTATTATGTTTAAAATATTATTTCTGAAATAAATTTAACAATAAATTTAATATAATAATATTACTTAAAATCAATTACTATTGTTTAATTATTGGACTACTTAAATTAACTAAAATACAACACATTAACAAAATATCATCTATGTGTGGTAAAAGATTAATAGTTATCTTGTTGAACACATTAAATAATTTTAGTCTAGCAAAAAATCTCTCTACATGTATCCTTACACTTGCAACATTGTAAGTTTTAAGTAATTCTTCTTCAGAAAATCTACGGTTGTGTAATATTGGAGGCATAACTAGTATAGAATTTTGACCTTCTATCCCAGATTTTATACCAGGAAAACCTTTGTCAGCAAGTACTTCATCCCCAATTTCAAGTTTATCTAAGAACCCACAATCATTCGTAATAAAGGAATCACTAGACCTGCCACCATATGCTTTTGATAAAAAGCTTACCATCCCATTAGGGGTAATAGCCACAAGTACCTTCACAGTATAACAACCTTTATAGTGAGAATACATATATACTCTTTGTTTTATAGTTTTGGGTTGTTCGACTCTGATTTCAGAGCAATCTATGATACATCTACAGTTTGGATAATTTTTTTTGAATACAACAGGTAGAGTATCCAAAATAGTATCTTTAGAAGGCCAAAATATTAAATTTTTGCATTTTTTAGACAAAATGTGTAAACATTCTAAAAAAACTCTACTAACAGTAGTTCTATGAATTTTGAAAAAAACACTCAGTGCAGAATAAGTTAAACCTAACTTAAGTTTCATTAAAAAAATCAAAAGATAATTTTCTTTACTTAGAATAGTCTGAGAGTTTATATTATTTGGTATTAATGATAGCAGAAAGTCAAATATTTTAAACGTTATGCCTGTTATGTCTTTTAATGATTGCTCAGATTCAATGGATTGAAAACCATGGAAAGTATTACAAGATAAACAAGAATTATTGTTTGATGACTCTATACCACAAGACTTATCTTCAGTTTTTGGTTTATTAAATTCCATAAAATTGTTCGGAATAGTCACTTGAGTTGCAGCATTATTTCCTTCGTACTCACAATTAAATACAAAATAATTTTCTATTCCATCAAATGCTACTTGGGTAGATTTGTTGATCATAGTTTTATTATAACTGCATACTGAATCATTCAATTCTATTAAGCTTTCAGAGATATTAGTTGTAACAGTAGAACTTAAAGTATTGGATTCTAATGCTTGTCGTTTTTTAGAACGTTCATATCTTGCATTCTTTTGTTCTTGGTTAGTTTCCTTAATTTTATATACCTTTGGGAAAATAGTAGGAATGTAGGATGGGCTGCTAGGATCATGTGATCTTTTGTTCCCTATAAAATGAGCACTACAAATAAGAGTACGCGGTTGTGGACGCCAAGGTTTACCATCTTCTCTACAAAATAAACATAATTAATTATTTCAATTTGACTATTATTAATTAATCTTGATCAGAAGAACAAATTATACTTACTGAACTCGATTGACTGCTCTAATCCATTTTTCTTTCAATGCTACTTCATATTTTCTATTAGGAAAACTATAAAACACTATGCCTGTACTGTTTTTATAAGTATTAGAACAATTTACAACGCAGCAATTGTTTTTCGACATTTCAAGTGAAATTATTGAAAATAAAATAGAACTTCTAAATAAACACAAAGTTATACAAACAAAAAGTAACTAAGATACAGTTTGCTGCCGCCCCGAAAATAATGCTCTTATAGTCTACCCAGAGCGCTAGTAGTACCGGTGCACGTTGTCTATACGAGAGCCAGCTCTAATAGCTGCGTCAAGATTACATTTATTCGGTTTCAGTCCTAAGGGCTTGATTTATTATTATTTTTATATCATTATTGTGTTGCTGTGATTTATTGTATTATTTATTATTTATTGTGTATTATACAGCCACCTATATTTACCAGCAACGGTAGTTTTATGTAATTGCATTACCATTAGTTTATAAGCACACACACTCACATAAATACACATATACACACCACATTCATATTACGTAGCTCGTCGGTATTCGTGAGGCGATCCCGACCGCTGCCGACTGAGTTACTCACACACATATACACCATACGTCATAGGTACAAGAGTCTGTAGGTAATTAGTGGTGCGCGCAAAGTATATCTGGTGTCCGGGCATTACTCAATAATATTTTTAGTACCCGGTATATTCACAGGCCAACTATTAACATTTGAATAAAACGCATACAATTTATAGAAATTATTAATAAATTACAAGTATTTTTCAATGTATAATTATTTACTAATCGAGCCACAATATTTGTAAATTGTAAATTACTTTTACAAACAGCTTGAACATTTATGGAAAAATATCCATTTCTGTTTCTAAAGCTTTCTCCAATATTACTATTGGGAGACTGTATTTTTATATGAGTACAATCAATTGCACCAAGAACATTAGGCAATTGACGCAATTGATTGAAACCTTCATACACTGATTCTCTAGTTCTGTTCTAGGCATTTGGATCAGTGGCGGCTCGTGAACCGTATGAGTGGTGAGGCAGATATTTTCAAAATGTATGGGAGAAAAAATGCTGTTAAAATAAATGTCTGTAAATATGCTGTCAATGAGTTTCAAGTTTACTTTTAATATAACTCAATTAATAAATAATATTTAATACTAGCCCTTAAAAATATATTAATAATAAACCATAAAATATTTATTTCAAATGTCATACCTATACATAAAACAAATATACTTATTTCATAAATCTCATATACTAAAACAAAAACAAAAATATTATAAAAATAAATCTTTTTTTATATTATGTTTTGTAAATTAAATCTATTCTTCTGTCTTTGAGTAATGCAAATTTGTCAATTATTTTTTCATAGAATTTTTCATCATTTTTTGATAAAGTGTTTATTAGATCTTTCTCAATAGAAATTGTAGCTAAGGAAGATAATCTTTCTTCTGTCATAGAATTTCTTAAATAACTTTTAATACGTTTTAAACATGAAAAATTTCTTTCAACAGATACACTGGTGGATGGTATAGTCAAAACAATACAAAACAGTTTGTATGCTTCTTTTAATAATCCAGACTCTTCAAACTCTTTTAGTAATTTTACACATTGTTGAATACTTTGGTTATAGAATTGCTCATCAAAATAAATAACTGACAATTCATTTTTCAATTGATCTATATCAAATATCTCTTTATATATTAAAGTTAAACAATTAAATTCTTCATAAGGAAAAACAGTTTTGTATGATTTAAATTTGGAAGTATCAACTAGAGATACAAATTTTAGTTTATTTAAGTCTTGGAAACGGTCAGTCAATTGACATATAATATTATCTAATATTTCAAATTGTAACATTTTATACTTATTTAGAGTTTCAGTTTCAGATAATCTTTCTGACCGTTTAAGAAAATTATATTTTTTTGCTTCATTAAAAAAAAAAATGGACTGATCATCATTTCTTAAAGATTTTATTTTATTAATAGCTGAATTTACTTGCTCAACACAATAGGCCACATCTAAATATTTAAGTTGTAAAATTGAAAATAATGTGTCAGTTATATTAAAAATGTCTTTATATATCATCATGAAAAATACAAATTCAAATTTTTTTAAGCTATTTATAAAACCTTTAGCTCCATTTATAGATTCCATTCCTGACTCTGGGTTATCTCTAATACATTCCATTACTTCTAATAGCTTATCTAAATTTGAAACAACAAAATTTAAAATTTTTGATCGTGTGCACCAGCGAGTCTCATTAGCTATAGGTATACGCTTGCCAATAACTGTATCTAAAACAAATGTTCGTTTTGGAGACTTTTTAAAAAATACAGATATCCCTAAAAGGGTTGCAAAAAATATTCGAGATTGGGGAACACAATAACTTCCTTGTTGTAAAACTAGATTCAACCGATGTGCACAACAATGAGTAAATAGAGCATTTGGTGCTTCATCTCTAATTCTTTTTTGAAGACCACTAACATGACCAGCCATAACACTGGCCCCGTCGTAACACTGAGCTATCAACTTAGTTCTAAAATTATATGGATCTAATACACTAGTTATTAAATTAAAAAGAGATTCAGAAGTTTTGCTACTACTCACATCATGGAAACCTAAAAAACTCTCCTTTAACTCACCAGTTTTTTTTACATATCTCAAAGTAATTGCACATTGAGATTTTTCCACAATATCAGTTGTATCATCTGATATAACAGCAAAAAAATGAATATCATTAATTTCAGATTTTATAACATCAATTATGTATTCATAAACACAGTGTATAATTTCGTTTTGAATTGTTTTTGATTGGCCTGTAAAAACATTGCTAATTTTTTCATAATGAGATAATCGGTGAACCATTGTTGTCTTGGTTCAAATCTTATTTGTCAGACAGAGTCCAGTGGGTAAAAGTGTTCGGATGCAAATCATCCGTCTCAAAGGTCTCTTCTGGAGTTCCTCAAGGAGGACATTTATCTCCAATACTGTTTTCTTTGTATGTAAATGGCATCAAGGAAATTGTCAAAAACTGTGAACTTCTCATGTTTGCCGACGACTTGAAGCTCTTTAGGAAAATTGATAACTTATCTGACTGTTCTACGCTCCAGAATGATCTCAACAACCTGGTCTCCTGGTTTAATAATATTGGTCTTCAGTTTAATGTAAACAAATGTCATTCCATGTCATTTTTAAGACACCGCTCCCCTATCAACTATGCTTACTCCATCAATGGTTCTAGTGTAACATCGGTTTGCAGTAAGAAAGACCTAGGTATTATCTTTAATTCCGATCTCAATTTTCACTCCCACACTGAAATGATATGCTGCAAAGCCTTAAAAACGCTTGGGTTTGTAATGCGCATATCAAAGGAGTTCAATCTATCTTCTTCATTAAAAACTATATACTGCTCATTGGTCCGTTCACTTTTAGAGTATGCATCGGTCCTATGGGACCCTTATACGGTATCTGACTCATGTCAATTAGAACGTGTTCAGAGACGGTTCTTATCTTGCGCAGCTTTTCTCTTAAAAATAAATCATCCTCCCCACGACTATTTCTTAGTTATGCAGGAACTCAGCCTCATTTCACTGGCCGACAGGCGAGTTAACGCTAACATAGAGTTTCTGAATAAACTAGTTGATGGTCGTATAGATGCTCCCTCACTTCTCTCGATAGTCAATTTCAAAGTTCCTTCCCGTACTACTAGATACCATGCTCCTTTCGTTGTTCCTGCGCACACTACCAATTATGGCAGAAACAATCCGTTAGACCGCATGATGCGGCTGGCCAATGAGAGCACCGTTCATCAAAACTGATACATTTATTATTATATATTTTTATATTTGTTATATTATCATTATTATACTTATTATTCTGTAATTATTATCTTATATAAATTTAATTATGTCATTGTATTAATTATTTTAAATTATGTATTATTGTATTATGTTAAACTGTTGAATAGGGCCCAGCCCGTTAACAAATAAATAAACAAATAAACAAATAAATAATAACTCAGCATTTTGTTTAATGAGCAAATTAAACATTTCACGAAAGTTTCCCTGGTTAATAGATAAAGTGCTCTCATCATGACCTCTAAAAGCCAACTCTTGTTTACCTAATAGTATTACAACCTCAATTATTTGTAACAACACTAATCTGTTTTTTCTAACATTGTCGTTATACAATATTTTGCTTAAACGAGAACCTTCATTTAAGGCACCAATAATTGTTCCTTTATTTTTTTCTAACCGGACCAACCCAATGAAGTTATTTATATGGTCTTTTGATGCTTCATGTTTTTTTACACTTCTTGACAAGTTTTTTAAATCAAAATAACCATCAGAAGACCAAACATTTTTTACTTTACCGAGTAAAACACAAGGCCAACAATACAACCGCTGTTCATAAAAGCTACCACATAACCACTTGTGTGAATCATACCAAGATTCCTTAAAAGAACGAGAACACATCTTAGAATTAGAATTTTTTATATTTAAATTATGTAAGGAAACTACAGGACGACCGTCATCTAATATCTGACGTTTGTTACTTTCACTACGTCGAGAAAATGGTGTTTCAAGTAAATTCACAATCAAATCATTAAACGGAAACATATTTAGTTATAACTCAATAAACTATAGTACAAACACTACAAACGCTAAAAACTACAAAGCACTAAGACAGTTTGGCAGTATAAAATTGCAAATAGAATAATAATTATTAATTGTGTTAATTATTATTTGATTGATATTTGATATGAACCAATATCTTTAGTTTGTGATAAAAGTATTGTTAAGTGTACACTTACACTACACGACATTATATCCATTATGACAACCTCCCAATTCCTATTTCTACTAGTGGAAGTTACGTCGTTTCGACAAATGACTAATGGGTAATGTTAACAAACCCTGAGGCCCGAATCGTTCTGCCTCATTTCATAATAAAATTCCGATTTCCCCCTCTACCATTATATATTTTATCATTGTACGGCCGTCCCACTCGTCTGAGGCTAAATATTACTAGCCTCTCGGCATACTTCGGCTTTCATCGAGATCGTTATATCGTTCAACGAACGTCGTCGTCGTGATTTTTGATAACAGTGACGAAGTATGTAGTTTGTACTCATTGTGTACTATGATAATTAATATTATATACGACAAAATAAATTTATTTTGTATTTTAAAATGCACATTATATTATTAAATATAATATTCTTAAAGTCGATTGGAAATAATTATAACTATTGTAGTATATAGTATATATATGATATACCTCCTTTTTTTGTACAATAGTTAGGTGAGGCTCAGCCTCACTTGTCTCCCCTGACGAGCCGCCACTGATTTGGATGTATTGTGGTTTGAGGGTAGCAATACATGTAGACACTTTTTTAACAATACGACAAACGGTTGACTTATGTACACATATATGGTCTCCTATAACTGCCTAAAATATAACATAATACATTTATATATCTTTGTATTTTATACAACATATTTCAAATGTCTAATAAAAATGTATGTGAAGATTATGTAAAATTCTAAAAAAATTACTTGAAAAGCACCAGTTGCTAGTAATTATCCGTTTCATTTATAAGGAATCAAATAACTAATACATAGTCTGGATTTCCATTTTGGAATTTGAATAGTCTGATTTAACTAATCAGTTGCATACAAATTATAGGGTATAGGTAAACTTGGCTAATGATTACTTATTATATTTGTACCTAACAAATTACAACAGTAAACTAGTGAAATCAAATATTTTTTTAATATAGGTACCTGAATCTCTGTTTGAAATCCGTATCGTCATATTCACTGAAAGGATTCGATCTGTCACGAAAATATCATGGTCTCGGTAATACCTGCAATACATCAATTATAAAATCTTCGTCATCACTAGACAAAGACGAATCATTTGAACTAGACGAATTATATTCCATCATTATTAATGAAAAAAATCGTGCGTAATTGCGTAGGTATATTAACTTAAAAATTATTTTTACAATAATTATATAATTATATTTTTTAATTTTTATATAATAATCGCAAAAACTAAAAAATATATATAATAAAAATTGAATATTGATAATCTTTGATAATAAAACTTGTTTATCTTATCATAATAATATTATATTATTTTAACCGATCTGTAACTAGTTACAGAGCCCAAATAGGATCTGCAGTTTACAGGTCCGGTAGCCGATAATTTACAAAGCCGGTAACTAAGCGTTCAAGCAATACCTAATTTTATTTACAGATCCGTTAACGTACTTACAGATCTGTAAGTAGTTACAGGACGTTTATGCAACCTGCTCATATAGTAATATTTTAATATTTTATGAAATTTATTACTATAAGTTTTAAAATAAAAAAATATTTATTCATCTGCACCTACCTATATAAATGTATTCAAAAATAAATTAACAAATAAGATGTGTATGTGTCGCATCCACATAGTGAAACTACTCATTTCATGAACTGGATATCCAGATAGTGATATTCGTCCAGATAGTGAATTTTGACGAAAATACATTATATGGACATCCATTTCATGAAATGGACAATACCTATATCGTGTACTTTGTGTAATTATTATTTTATTATATAATGGTTCATAAACTATCATTATACATTTACACGTATATTATATTTAATTTTTCACGATTGATTAATATATAGGTAATTTTCTATATTGTTCTATACACAAAAATATAGCAATTAAAGTAAATAAATTATAACATATTACATTATATTTTTATTTTATTTTTCATAAACCATACGTATATTATATTTTATAAACAACAGTGTTACCTATGTCCTATATTAAGTGTTATAAAATATTCATGAAATTAACTATAATTATAATATTTAACTACATATATTTCTCTATTGTTTTATTACCTAACAAAATAATTAATTGATTAACTTAAACATACCTTAAACGGCTTAAATTTTACATACATTTTTTCCTTATTATTTATTTTTACATGACGATTGATTATGACATCGACTGTTCCATTGCATATTATTTTTAAAACAAGTACACCTACTTGATTAGCAAGGATTTTTTGCCTTACACGAACAAGACAAAAATCCTTGCCCTCCTGAATTTTTTTTAATCATTTCTCTCACCTAAAATTCAACATTTTTATCAACTTGATCAGTAGTGAGAAATTAAGTTGTTGATTTTTTCAAACATTCACTACTGAACCATCATTTGAGTAAACCATATTTTGTTCCAAGTTTATGTAATCCTTTTTTATTTGTTCCGTGATCACGCAAATTACCCAGACAGCAATACAATATTATATATATATATGTTAACAATATTTGCTACGAACACTAAAATATTTAAAAAATGTATTTTAAATATGTGATTTAAGTGTTAACAATAATGTAACAACATTGTGACAATGACTCGTGGCAGAAAATGCAATATTGTTACATTGTGTTCTTTTAGATATTTTAACGATATGTAATACAACACATTTCTAAAATATAGTTTAATAATATTTCAGAATCAAGTAAATTGAAACATTATAGAAATATTGGTTGAAAAACATTGTAAAAATATTTATTCTATTATATTCATTAAATATATTGTAAAAACATGTATTTTTTTCAAAAAATTTCACCAGATTAAATAAATAATAATCAATGTAAATTTTTATTGAAACTACACATTATCAGGGGATGCTTAACCTCTCCCAAGACATTCATGTGTTCCACCAAAAATCTTTTTATCGTGTTGTATGTATAGAACTGCTACATACATATTTTGTAATGCTTGTTAAACGACTGAACTACAGCTTACCATAACCATATTAATTAATACTACTATTTCTTGTATACGCTTTTCATACTATCTATCACAATATATTATATCCTAGAATTCAGCCTCACAGATTGGGTACAGTATAATAGACTACACCCCCTTATTCACCTATAATGGTTGTGATGACTTGGTCACGTATTAATTTGATTCGTGTTTTCCGAAAACAATATTAACATTTCAGCTTTGAAGTAATTGACACATGAAAAAATTTAATTTTGTTTAAATTCATAAGAGTTATTCAGAATAATAACAATACAATTTAAGTTCAGGTTTTAAAACAATTATTAAAACATTTTAATTTATTTCACATTAATTACTTTTTATTTTTATTGAAATATTAAAACTAAATACAATTAATATCATTAAAAAATTGTTCTTTATTGGTTATCTTTATTTTTTTTAATAATGCGATTATTGGCTTGAGCCATCCATTTGCTTATGGCAAGTGATATTTCTATTTCAGGAGTGTTTTCAAACTTTGAACAACGTCGTACAGCTTCTAATAACATAAGTAATTTAAAATATAAAATAAATAACATAATCAATGTAAAAATATAATTAACTCACCAAAAATTATTTTGCAAGAGTGTAGAGATGAAAATTTATTTTTGCCTTTAAACCCGATGTATGAGTAGTTACGCAACCAGTTATCCTGAAATAATTTTTGCATAATTCTTCCGATTGTTTCAGGAATAGTTTTTGCAGCAGACAGTGATAATTCAGAAACCTGAAAAATAATCAAATAATATAAAAATAAATGTTTATTATTACATAATAGGTTAAATGTGTAACTTAATGTTGATAACTTACAACTTTATCCCTATGCGTAGAAGACTCGAGTAATATTTCAAAATTCTGTAGAGTTTCTTCATTAGATATAGGGATGTTTTCATTGTTTAATACATTTGTAGCAATCATATTTGTGTTACGTGTCACACCTTGTTCTAGGATATTATTAATATTTTCCAGCATTTTTTGAACAGATTCGGATACATAAGATAAATGTTTAATATCATATTTTAAGTTAGTAAATGATGTTTTTACATATTCTTCAAACCCTTGAAAAATTAAATAAAAATTAAGTATATTAGTAATAGAAATCAACTTATCACATTTAATTATTTTATTAATAAATCAATAAAATATTTAAATTATTGTGTAAGCTAATTATTTTGGTTTCATAAATAATTAAAATATAATATTATAAAATAATTTAAGTAGTTAACTTACTTTTAAAATCGTTTGGATTTACATCTGTAGAAACATTGATATGATATTTATATATATATCATCCTTACTTAAATTGCCTGTACCCAATTGTATTTTATTGCCGTTATCTCCTAAGAAAAAATAATTTTAGGTTGACTGATAAGTTTTTATACAATTAATATAAAATTATATCAATGAAATTATGAAAATAGTAATATTCAATAAATCACAACAATACAATATAAACGATATAGATTGTATAGTTTAAAAATATTAATAAATGTTTTTTTTTTTAGAAGATTAAAATATATTATAATAGATATAATTTTAAAATAAAGTATATTTAAATGTATTTTTATTTACTTGAGGTTACATGTTGAGAATTTAGTTTTTTTGTTTCTATACAACCATCAGACATAAAAAGCCTTTTTCTAACTTTATTTATAGTCTCAGGAGTTTTGTCTTTGAATGCTTGTTCCTTGTTTTGGTTGTCATTTAAAATTTGAGACTCACTAACAGTTACATTAGCTGAAACTGAAGATACTTTCCATAAACCAACTGGACTTTTGATAATATCAAAATTATCATCTGAAATTGAATTTAATTGGATTTAGATATTGATTTAATTTACCAAATATAAGAAAAACTAACTCATTTCATTAATACGATTAGGAGGCTCATATGACTTATCAATATCACTGTCATCTTGATCATCTATGAGTTCATCAATATTATCTATACAAATTAAAAATAATAATTAAATAATCAATAACAAAGAATAAATAATAGTTAAAAACCTGTCAAAATTTGACGACACGATTTGGTAGTTTTATTTCTTTCATTATCAATTATACGAGGCTGACTTTTAGACTGGCTGTTATTTATATTTTCAAATATATTTTCCTGATATTCATTATCTATACATAACAATTACCCAATAAATACAAAAAAAAAAATTTAACATACTAAACAAAAATCTTTAAATTTAAAAGTTTGGAATAATAAAAAATGTAATTCATTATTATGTGTTTGAAGGTACCTGACAAAATCTGACTACTAATTTTGATTGATTTGTTTATTTTATTCTGAAAAGCATTTGACTGGCTACTAGAAAGACTGTTATTTACACTTTCATCATCATTATCTAAAAAAATTTTAATATGTTTAATAAATAATATATACCTAATAATAACTTTGAATAGGTACCTAGACATGTAATATAAAAATTAAGAACTAATCAAAAAATATAAATTAGGCACCTGAGAAAACTGGAGGACTACTAGGTTTTTTTATGTTAAGTTTATTAAAACGGCTATTAGAATAATTTTCTTCGGCTGAAGATAAGTCTGAGGTAAATTGTGCTTTTCTTGCTCTTTCTTTAGCCTCTGAATATGTTTCTAAAAGTTAAAATAATATATATTTATATAATTTAACAATACAATAATACATTATTAGTTTTAAATTTTAAATAATCATTTTGGTTGACAACAATAAATTATTACCAAATAATAAGACACTCACTAATAGGATTTTTAGTGTGGATTTTTCTCGCTTTAAAAAAATCATAATCAAATTTATTTGGAATAGCTCTTCTTTGGAGTAACAAGGATGCATTTTTGGTATAACTTTTAGGCCATGCACAATATCCGTTTTTCCACCAATGACTTGGTACTGCACTAACTGAATTATCATTAGTAAAATTAACAATTGACCACATTATAGGAATTCTGAAACCACAATATATATACTATAATGTATAGCTTGTTAGAAACTTAAAATAAATATTTTATATAGTTTAAAATGTTTTATTATTACTACCAACTATAACAAAACAATTTATATTATACTTATAGTTACAATTACATAATATAGCCTATAAGTTCTCATTAATTTTAGTGTATTAATAAATAAATAATAATAATAAGTGTAAAGTGTATTCTTAATAGTAATTGGAAATGTATAATACAGTTTTAAATAAAAATACTTTATTGGCTATTTAATAAATGCATATAAAAACAACATTAAATTCATGTTGGTTGCAACAACAACAAAATTCCAAAATAATAATTTACAAAATTGATGGTTATAAAATAAAAATAAATGTACATTAAAGTGGTAATAATAATAATAATAATAAATAAGTTTAAATAAAAGGTACACAATACAATAGGTGGGTATAAGTTATAAGTCTGGTAATTAAATATACCTTGGTAATATGTACCAATAGAAGTATACATCAAAATAATTTTAAAAATATTAATAACCAAATTAAAAACTATGTTTAAAAATTGTGCGTTACAAAATAATATTATGTAATATAACTTATAATTATTTTAAACTAGCAAGATTAACTTAAAAATTATTAAGAATATCTAAGAATGTAAAACTGGAATAGTAATTAGTTGATTATTAAAATTAAAAACAATCATCTTTTTTTTTACATCAGATAATTTCCACCACATTAGGTCGTCAGATATGTTATTAATAATGAATATATTTAATTTTGTTGATTGAATTGGTTTATTATACAATGGCTGTTTGTTTTTAAACATATATCCAATTATTACTAGTTCTTTACTATGATTAGAGCAATATTTTCTACTTGGACAATTTCTCCTTGAGAAGTAAGAATATATTTATCAGCAGTTTTTTTAATATTTATATTTATTTTATTTTTAATTTCAACTCTTAAATATTGACGACCACAAGTATCTTCCAGTAATGGGCCATCAAAATGTTCATTGCTTAGAATTACGCTTTGAACATCAGTTTTGAACACTTCATTTTTACATTTCTCTTCGTGCCTTTTAATAATTTGTTCTAATGGTTTTTCGTGTTTACGTAACATTGATTTTAGAGTCTTCATGAAATTTTCAAAGGGAAAACAGCTACATAAATCAAGAGGTCCAAACTGACGATAGTTGTCACAAATGTGTAGAAGCCCATGAATGTTATGTGAGACTAGATGATCTCCATAAATATTTTGAAATGTCTTAACAAAATATATTAATAGATTTTCAGCATACCGTAAAAGTTTATCATCAATTTTATCAGGTCTTAATAATAATGTCATTGCAATACTTAGAGCCATAAAATTGTCAAATGCATTTTTAGAAACAACATTTTGTAAAACGATTGGACCTGTATATAATATAAATTGCCGCAATTCTGTTGCTTTCCATCGATTAATAAATTCTATTTCTCTCGGTTTTCTAGCAAAATCATTTGGTATGTATAATTTAAGATTAATTAGTGAAGAAGATATCTGTTTAATTTTACAATTGGGTAAACGTGTTCTTAAAGGTCCATGTATCCAAAGATTAATTAATTTTCTCACAACCCCTAAACACACCAAATGCATGTAATCCATGGAAAAAGAATTAACTATGTCAATACCAGGTACATGGATCAGGTCTGATAAAGTAGACACATGATGTAATTCTTGAGTCATATTAACGTAATCATCATGAGTTCTTTTTTTATACACACCTTCTTTATATGGAAAACTCATTCGATTATTAATATATGTTCCATCTTGAGTACACCTTGTGCATGAATAGAATCCTGTGTGACCCTTTATTTTCAAAATAAATGATTTTGCAGGGGCATCAGTACAAAACGTATGGATCACAACTTTTTTAATAGAATTGTTTATTTCAATACCATTAATAACAAGATCTTTTGCTTCTTCTATAAAGTCTTTGAGATAGTCATTACTATTGCAAGGTTTTTCATATCCATGATAAAGTCCAACCTAAAAAACATGTTCAATATAAGGCTGTATATACACTAATATTGGCCAAAATTGACTGCCACTACTTTTAGATAATGGCAAACCATCTATTCCTACTACAACTTTTAAAATATTTTCCAATTCTAATAAGTATGAGAGTCTTTGGATACCTTCTTTTAAACCAAAATGATGGTATTTGCCTAATCCAATTGTTCTAATACTAGAAATCTTAGTCGAAGACGAATTAAGTAATGTTCTGGTATCAAGAGGTAGTGCTTTAAGGCATTGAATGCATTGGTGCCTTCTTAATGTATGCAAAAGTGCATTAACAGTAGTGTGAGGTACATTAAAATCAATAACCCAGGACGATAATAATGATCTCAAGGAAAGTTCATCATTATTAACACAACAATAACAGTTTCCAGAATGATCAGTAGTATTTGAAGTTTGGCTAGTAAAATGTAAAATTTCTTCACCAGAATGATTATCAACAGAATAAGAAACAGATTCATTTTCAAAATTATAACCAATATTATTACTAATACTAATATTATTATGGAACTCATGTGAATTTTGGGCAGATACATTAAATTCTGGTTGTACTGTTGTTGAATTTACAGAAATACTAGGAATACTGTCATTGTTTGATGATGGTGAATAGTTCAATAAATTAAGTTCCTGTTGGACTCTCCTACGTTTTGTTCTATAGCTTCTAATCATATTTGTTAAAATGGAAACACAAATCTCTGAATCAAGATGAAAAAAATATATTAAAAATAATTAGGTACCTATATAGGAAATCATTTTTAAATTAAACTATTTATAATGGAAGAAAACAATTACCAACAAAAATAAGCAATAATAATTATGGTTACATAATTAATAACTATACATATACTAATAACAGTTATAATGATCTATTATTAAATTAAGTTAATTAGGTAAATAAATTCATATTTTATTAGTTTAATAGGAGGTATTGATGCTTAGGTAATTATTTTATCAGCAGGTTAAATTATATAAGTTATATTATACATTATTTTTTACCTGATGTTTATATGTATATCAATTTTTTACATTACACACAATCGGAGCTGTAACTACACTACATAGACACCTTCGTAAATTTATTCAAATAAATACAACTATAATATATGGGATAATATACTAAATTTAACTAAATTAAACCAATCGAACATTTCGCAAACTCTAGTTATAGCACTGCATACGTACAAATGTATAATATAAATATTGTATGATAACTAAGATAGTATAAAGTGAGTATTTACCGAAATTAAAGTATTTTGTTTGAAAGATGTTCCAAATAGACATTAACATTTAACACAATCGCTGTCTGATGTCCGGCATGCGGCAATTATATTATTCAATTATTGGGCGACTCGCGACGAAGTCGATGCATAAATATACGACGATAAACGAAAACGATAAACGTGTGCAGCTCTGCGGCTGCAGTTGGGTGGCGGGACGGTGCGACACTTATCTTGGGATAATCGAAAAGTACAAATTATTTTTAACATAATAAACATAAATAATATTCCAATATTATCGGGTTGACGCGGAGGGCGGCGAGCGCCGACGTGAGCGCGAATGAACAACGCAGTACAACGACAAAATAACCGACCGGCGAGCACAAATTGACGACCGTTGTAGTACCACAGATTATTAAACTAATAATAATAAAATATAATAATATAATCTATGTTTAATATAATCTGTGGTAGTACCGTTAACATGGACGTATAAATATTAAATATATTATGAAATATTATAATATAATATAATAAAATAACATTATAGTTACTACTTACAAAGAAGGTTAAAGAAGTACAGAGACACAGGGTAATAGGTACTTTTCCACACTAATTATTAGTATACTACTATTACTAATATTAATATATCATTATTACTGTTACTATTACTAATTAGTAATTATCAGGGCAAGGATTTGTATGCATTAAAAAATTGTAAAACATGCATTTTATTTACAAAAATATGCATTTAAATTTTTATAAGATAAAAACAAAAATATAATTACAAAAAAAATATTTATTTATTGGAATATATCAGTGATTGGCTGTTTGTCTTAATATAGTTGAATCGAGAATAAAATAATTTAATTTAAAAATAAAATTTATAATTCACATTCACCAGTGGAAATAGGTACGTGTTAAATGCTACGACCGCATACTTTTTTAAATTTTCGATTATAAATGATCGGCGATTGGATCGTAGTATTGATTTTTATTGACTAAAGATTTTATCGCATACCTATTGTACCATCAAATTGTATTTATAAAAATAAAATTTATGATTGACAGAAAAACAAAGTTGTATACGAAATACTCTCGCTACACCTCCCCACTAAAAAAAAGGTTTTGTAGGGCTACTTTTTGTAGAACTACAAAATCTTAAAAATTATTGTTTACATAAAGGTTAATAAATTTGTCTTTATAGAGACAATTACATGAATAAGTATATATATGTTGACTAACTTAGTTGACTGGTGGTCATATTTTTGTTCCAAAAAAAATCTGTGCCAATGAACATTTGTTCCAAAATATAATTATGCTTATGGATATTTGTTCCCAACATAATTG